AGATGTCTGGGAAAACCCTCTGATATCATGATAACCCATCCCTACTTTCTGTTACAGCGTATGGACCAAAACAAAAAGAGATGATTGTATGTTTGATTGGACGCAGTTGACGTTGGGGCAGAGGTGAGGGAGTGGTAGGGGTCAGGTCGGGCTCTGAGTGTGCGAGGCTGTAGCGGTGTCCAGGCGCTGATGCACAGAGCTGACGTCTGTTGGACCTCTCCACATGCAGATCATTAGGGCCAGTATTACTCATACAGGGGCCCGGGACAAAACTCTCGGACCCCCCCTCTCCTCCTCCTCCTCCTCTCTCCTTGTCCCCTCTGCCCACTTTCTCCCTCCTCTTCTCCTCCTTCTCCCTCTCCTCTGTACCTCCAACTTAAACCCCAAAACCTGCAGCCAATGTAAAAGTGATTAAGAAAACAAACCCGTGCTTGCAGGGGGAGTCTGGCCCACTTTCAGTTGGAGAGCACATTTCCTAACCTTCTGCATGCTGCGAATTAAAGATTATTTCGATGTGTCGTATCAGATAACCATCTCTGCATGAGAAAACTTTTCAGATAAAACGGCCCTTTAGTTTCGCCGATGGAAGGATTGTGTCAGCTGAAATAACTACTTCGAATCCTGGTAAACGCTGTCGCCCACCAGATGTTTTTGACTTATCCAGTGAAATGACATTATAGCCGAATGGACAGAGGTAGAGGGATTTCTCAGAATGTTTTGGCCACTCAACGAAACACACATTTGCGTCAAGCTGTTAATTTGACATATTTTTATGACAAAAACTAAAACATTTCAAACTCGATTTCAATAGTTCATGGTTTGTACGTGAAATAGATTTTGATAGCACAATGATGACAAATAAAACTAAACTTTTTCTGTCAATAGAATGTATTTTCATAACAAAATATTAGTACGTCCTTTAAAATTCCACTGCAACTTTTCTGATGGAAGGTCTGCCATCAGCCTTTCTCATGGAGATGTTTTGCTTTGCCTGGGATGTTACACAATATGGCTTTAAACAAATATATGTTGTATTTATTAAATTACAGGTGTTTATATTTCTCAAAACTTAAGTAAAAACATGCATTATGTCACATGAGCTCAGTTCTCCACAGATTTGATGTGGCATGCTTGTCCTTGGAGAAAGTTAGGTTATGTTTACACTGTATCACTATATCGCGTTCAGACACATCGTTTCTGTGTCCGCAAGCCTTCCCTATCCACACAGCTTTGAGCATGTGTTTACATTTTACAGAAATGAAACTTAAAACCGCATGGCTCATTTGCATAAACTAAGCACTCAAAAACAGCTCACTATTGTGCGCTGATGCGGTTCAGCTTCTGTCGGACTAAAGGACATGACTCAGTGAAATATGAGTGTTCTCTTTGTGACAGAGGGGTGTTCTACTGATGGTGAGTCTGTTCTGTGCTTCTATCACGTTGGAGATGGTTCATGTGAAACTTTTCCGAGATTATACATTTGCAGGTCATATGCATAGACGTATATATGAATGGACATATATTCTAGCCACTTAGCGTTTTGGCGGTGAATTACTGCAGCGCATAGAACTCCATCAGCATTTTCAGGCGTCCCTACGGTGCCGAATCAGTTCCGTACTCAGATGACTTCATGGGAGCTGGCAAAACCAGATTGTTCTGTCTCTGGAGCCGCTTTCAATTGGATTAGTGTGGACGAATACGTACTAGTGTGGATGGGGCCTTCAATTAACATTAATATTAGAACATTCCTGTGAAAAACATTAACATCTACATGGAATTAAGCAAGTGACAGTCCCTCTACTAGAAAAGTTACACAGTGCACTTTTAAGACTGTTGTACCTGTTTTTTACTATCTTGAAACATGAAAAAACTAGTTCAAGAACAACAAAGTTATATCTCATTTTTCACAATCTTCAACCCTAGAGTGGAATTTTGCCATTGTGCAACAGTCATGGTAACAACAACTGGCATGCTAATGGCACAGAGCAGATCAGTGTGTTGATTCCCAGACATCACAATGCTTTATAATTAGATGCAGACAGTTCACAGCAGACTTATCATTTATTTTGACTTCTCTAATCATAACTATTGTGTTATTTAGATCATTTTGGCTTTTGTTAGCATTATAGTTGCTAGGTACTGGAACTGGAATTACCTCTACACATGCCATATCTGCTGCCTGTGTCCAACTGGGAAGTAAAATAATAAACTTCACAAGGGGAAAAAACAACAAAAAACATAGGTACAATTTCAGTAAAATCTTAACTGCATTGTGTAACTTTTCTGGTAGAGAGTCTGCCACCTGCTTGACTCCATGTAGATGTTATAGATTTTCCTGGAATGTTCTAGAGCATCATGGGTTGTTTGGTACTGGGCTGCACAGAAAGAATAAATAACTTAACAATATTTCCGTTTTATTTATTATCTGAGTCTGAACAATGTTTTATTTTGAAAAATGACAAAATTTTCTCCATTACATCCGTCTATGACTCACTCTTGCTTGCTTATTTCGGTCACGTGATACATTAATGCTAATATTAAACCCACAAGCTGCAAAATGAGTAAAAAACAGACGTCTTTTGAAACATTTATTATAATATTTACAAAATACCACAGTTCTGTGTTGGTCGTATCATTTTATTTTGTCGTATTTATCCGCCACACCTTAAAGTCTGGTCTGTGAAAATATTGTCTGACATTAAGCCAGTCCATGGCGCAAAAAAGGTTGGGGAACACTTTTCTAGAGTATAACATTTAACTAAATTATTGGAGACAAGCAGGCCACATGACCAGGCACATCACAAGTTACAGGTTAGATCTATGGAGAAGGGGGCCCCCTCTCAGTAATGATGCATGTTTTTGTGGTAGTTTTGAGAAATAAAAACCTCTATAGTTGAAAAAATGCAAGATTTATTTGGTCAAAAGTGCCTAGTGTAACTTTTCTGGTGGAGGGTCCATCACCTGCTTGCTTCTATGGATATGTGAGGTGGTTTTACAGCTCAAAAATCCAGAGAAAAAAACACATTCTGACTGTGAGCGGGCTTGCCTCTCCTCTGATCTGACCTGTAACTTAATCTGATTTGGTCTCCATAAAGACAGAAAGGTTTAATACCATTCTGTGAAACATTCCAGACAAAGAAATAACATCTCCACGGAGCAAAGCATTTAGAAAAGTTACACAATGCACCTTTAAATATAATGATGTTAACTGTGTCATATACTGAAAAAGTGCTCTTAACTTGTCATAAACACTTTAACAAAAATCTAAATAGTTACACTGGGCCAAATTGATAATGACAAGCTTCAGCAAATTAACAAATTTTTGGTTTCTTCTGGCAAGCAACGCCTCAGTTTCTGCTGGTATGTGCGCTTGGCTTTTAGGGAAAATGCGTCTATAGTGGCCTACATAAAGCGAGCAGCATGACATCATCGGACGGGCCCTCCCAAAATCTTGTCCTTGTGTTTTCGTGGACTGTTCATAATCATCTCCCTCGCGAGAATGGTTGGGGTAATTGAACGCAGATGGAATAGAGGAAAATGTCAATTACGCAACTGCTCTTGGTGCCAGAAAGCATGTGTAGAGCTGCGCTGTGTGATGTATTATAGATGTATGCGTTTTGGACGGACACACCCAGCTGTCAGCGGCCATTACTTTTATATAACATTAAACTAAATCATGGCGTTTTCTTTGCTCGTTGTGAAGTTTTACTTGAAGAATGGGTGACACTTTATATGAACTATGTCTAACTAGGTTTAATATAACATGAGGGCAGAGTTAATTTGCAATGAAGGAATGGTAAACTAAAAAAAATGATTCAGGGTTTATGACTACTTAAAGCTCCATTCTGTAAATTTTCTGGTGGAGGGTCTGTCACTCGCTTGCCTAGAATGTTCCACAATATAACATTAAACAGTTCTACCTTACATTTATTCAATTACAAATGGTTTTATAGCTCAAAAATACTTAGAAAAACAGGAATTCTGACTGAGCGGGGTTGCCTCTCCACAGATCTGACCTGTAACTTGGTCTGGTTTGATCTCCGTGAAGATAGAAAAGTTTAATGCCATACTGTGAAACATTCCAGACAAAGCAATAAAGTGTCCATGGAGGAAAGCATTTGTCTTCACCAAAAAAGTTACAAAATGCACCTTTACCTAATACCCCTAACTCCTTAAATAATGGCACTGTAGCTGATTTTTACTGCCTTAAAAATGTGAAAAACAGAACAAGCTCATTTTAAAACAGTGTGTTATGTAATAATCGACTTTTTATGGCTTTTAATGATCTTCTCACCTTCTCATTTACCCTCCCGAAGTTGTATTCAGAGTGATTCATACAGTTTTGCGTCATCTTCATTCTCAATTATTCAAGACGTCAATGCTCAGATCAACCCCTGTTTTTACTGCCACTAGTACACCCCACTGCTCTGTACTTCAATTTTATTTTCTTAATCAATGATGAACTTCGCAATTCTTTGTTGTGATGACGTTCACAGTGATGTCAGCTCCCACTGGGCACTGCAATTTTCCAACTCGGAAGTCAGTGGATTTGTTTCTTTTGAGAAGTCGTTTCAGATCAATATTGTGGTTTCAAATGTCCAGATTATAACACTGATCAAAAACATACCCAGTGTTGTGTTTGGTTTCATTCACACACACATTTGAGAAACATTGCATTGTATGACGGTCTAAATTTCCCAAGAACAAAATGCTCTCTTTGGTTCAGTAGCGTAGAAATTCCAGAGCTGAAATTACCCAAATGATTCGAGTGAAAGTGTACAGTTTAAAAACGGAGTGGAGCACTTCTTGTATTGCCGCTTAACATTGCAAGGTTTTCTATTTGAGAGAAAAACTCAGCCTAAATATGCAGGGTTTGTGAAAAGTGTGAATGAAACAAAACACAACTCCAGGTATGTTTTTGATTAGAAAACAGCATTTTAACATAGTGATTTTGTCTTGTTTCCTTGCCCATACTAAAAATGTTTTGTTTTGTTCTCCAGGCCAGACCGAAGGGAGAGGGTCTGACTCCGTACCAGGGGAAGAAGAGGTGCTTTGGGGAGTACAAGTGCCCCAAGTGTAAGAGGAAGTGGATGAGTGGAAACTCCTGGGCCAACATGGGGCAAGAGTGCATCAAGTGCCACATCAACGTTTACCCACACAAGCAGGTACGGGCAGCAGGGGGTAAAGGGCACTGGGTCAAATCTGTGGAAAGGCAACCCCACTCACAGTCAGATTGCCTGTTTTTCTAGGTATTTTTGAGCTATAAAACTACTTGTAATGTAATCAATCAAAGGTAGAGCTGTTTAATATCATACTGTGGAATACTGCAGGCAGAGCAAGGGACATAACCATAGAAACAAGCAGGTGACCGAATCCAACTGAAAAGTTACATAGTGCACCACATAGTCTATCCCTCCCAAGAGTGCATCAAGTGCCACATCAAGGCCCACAGATCCTCCATCAGGAAAATTACACAGCACACCTTTAGTCAATCATAGAATTGAATCCCCAAATTTGGTACAAGTACGGTAATGTTGATGTTTCATTTCTATGGTAGGGGGCGCTACAGTGTACACTTCCATACGCTTTATAGTATTATATTCAGACCAAGATCACGCATTAGTGATTCAAATTTCTGCACGATTGGGACTAAGCATGTGCATGTAATATTAAAAAAAAAAAAATGGGTGAGAGAAACACAAACATGGATAGCTCTACTAGCTCAGCCAAGCCCTGGTACCTCTACACAGCAGAGGATGACGCTCACCTCTACGATGAGGGCTTCAACCCTGCTCTGCTCTGCCCCACATGGTCAAGAGCCACAGGAGACCCAACTGGTGTCTCCCAAAATCCAACCCCAGAGAACAGAAGTCTGGCTCAGGACCTTCCAACCAGGGTCCAAGGCCTTCCACCCCTGGAGGAGAAGAGCGCTCGGGTCAGGATGCTTTGTGAAGAGTTGGAACGGACAAGGGCTAAAATTGCAGATCAGGTCCAAATAAGCAATTCTTTGGACCTCAAGCTTAGGTCTCAGGAGAGAGTCAACCAAGAAAAAGTTTAAAAAAACTCAATGATTCTCTCCAGAAGACAAACAAGCAGCTGCAAGACCGATGAATGCACATAAGGAGATCCAGTACCTGTACAACTCTATAGTACAGGAAAATGTGCAGCTCCAACTCCAAAAAGGTCAGGAGTAAGATTCATGATTTGGAGATGCAAGAACTCAAAGCTTCTCTCCAAAAGAAAGACAAAGTGCTGGAAACTCACATTAATGCATACAAGGAGATCCGAAATCTGTATAACAGTTCGGTTAGTTCGATCGCACCAGCAAAGTCCTTGAAAAGATGAAGGAAGACTTTAAAGCAAAGGACAATATAATGGCTGAGATGAGAAACACAAACAGATCGGATCCAGAGGCCTGCAGAGACTCTCAAACCACTGGTCTGGAAGTTGGTGGAGATGTAACCCACAAAGACAATGAGAAACTGTCCAGGAAGGTGGAGGAGCACTCTTCTCAGCATGAAACAAGTTTCCTGAAGTTTTGCTGTGAAAGTGATAGAGCTCAACCATCCAGTCCCCCAAAAGGAGCGGCCGAACTGAAGGAGCAGAGGAAGGTGCTCCAGCGCTACTACCAGTGCAACAACCAGCAGTAAAGCCCCTCCAAACATTACCCTTTACCCTTTGCATTATGAAAAGCATTATGATGTTCTCTCACGTTTATTGTTTCATTTGTCAAAACTTGAATTCACATGCCAGTCACTGCAGTCATTTTATTTTTATTAATTTGTAAATGTTGAAATATATAGATCTAGTCTAAACTGTGGAACATTATAAACAACTCAATATCATTTCCATGAAGACAAGCAGGGGGCGGATTCTCACTAGAAAGATTATGCAGTGCACCTTTAAGTATCTGCCGATTCCCAAGATCAACTGATACCAGAGCAGAGACTGAAAACTGCATTAACTTCCAAAACGAAAATAAGATCCAAATGTGTTATGGAGCTGTTATTTATCTCTCAAGTAACTACAGAACAGCTTTGAATAAATAAAAGTTCAAATATTATGAGACTTTCTAGGCCAACTGCAACCAGCGATTTGTCTTAATCCATTTATATGTCCAACCAGGATATCGTCTTAACTGAATCGATATCAGGGAGCCGATACTGAAAACATCCACTGAAATAAAATAAAAAGCAGAAAGAAACACTTTAGTAGCTAGTTTGTATCTATAATGACTCGGAAGCAGGTCAAATCTTATCGTAGTAGAGAAAGATTACAAAAAAATCCTCACTAGTACAAAGAAAAAGTACCACAATAAATGTTGACTATTATTGTTCCAGCTATCAGGCTTAAGATCATTCGCATGGGTAAATGGATAAAGATGTGTGTTGTAGTTTCAGAAATGATTCAAAGCAACCAAAAGTATCAAAAAGTCATCCAGGTTTATTCAAAGGGGTTTTGTCAGTTGACTGTATTTGAAGAAGGAAAATACACAATACACAATACTTCTTAATCCCATATTCAGCAGACCACCTCACTTAGTTTCCATTATTAAAGGTCCTATATTACACATAATTGACTTTTGTGAGCTTTAAGTTGTGTTTGATTGTTGTTACCTCCTCAAAAACATACCTGGAATTATGTTTTGTTTCATTCACACACATTTGAGTAACCTTTTTTATTGTTTCAAAATGCTCTGCTCCACCTTGAGATGTCATGAAGTGATAGATTTGAAGTTAACAGCTACCTTTTACCTCAAGTTCAGTCGAGATTGGCAGTTCCAGAGCTGATTCTAGTGTTTTATGTTTCACCAGGTATGTTTTTGATGAGGAAACAACATTATGACATAGATTAGAAAATAGAGTAATATGAGATTCTGGCAGGGCACGTCTTCTTTAATCCAGAGTTGCCAGGGCTGAAGGGAGAAGCAGAAATTGTAAGGGGATCCCCAGTTGCGTCGGGTCATCAAAAATATGATTAAAAGTTAAAATCCAATACACATGGGCAAGGGGGTATAGGAACATAATACAAAAGTTGTTTATTTAGCAAATACATGCCTGTTACGAATCAATTTTACAATGTGATCCAGGCTTCAGGTTTGGACGGGGGGTACGAGCTGGCTTCCAGGCAAAGAAGGTTGGGAAACACTGCTTTGACCACAACTACTATACGTGGTTGGCTGGTTGGTTAACAGTATGTCTATAATTTTTCTCATTTGAGCACATAATCCCTGTTAACCAGAAAACGTAACCCCAGCATACACAATGATATATGATAGCCGTTGAAGACAAAAGGACAGTTTACATAATTAAGCCCTGAGCTTGTCTAAGCTCTGTGCAGATGTAAACATTTGAACCAACTTTTTGAGTTGATTTTTCCATTGTTTTAATGTTTGAGGGAAACAAATCAGTATTCGACTAAATGCTGTGCTGGGAACTGTTTTGATGTTCCTCAGAAATACAATAAAAACATAATTATTGGACGCAATTTTGCTCCAAATGTTGCAAAAACTGATTGTCCGACCAAGATTAACAGAGTACAGGCTGTGTTGTGCATGGCTGCGTATCATCGCTTTATCCAGATGGCCCTGTTCAATAACTAGGAGAAGCCCTAATGCTGTGAATAGCTCCAGACCCATAAAGAGGAATTTCAGAAACGAATGACACCACAGAACTGGAGGACTATTTACTGTAGTTATTTAAACTTGAGTATACATTTATACAGAGAGCTTAGTTTGGCTTTGGGCTACAAGAATTCTCGACATAGTTTATAATATGAGCCGGTTTAGTGCGACGCTGTGGGCTGTTCTCAAAGGGAGGGAGCAGGGGGCTTGTCTGTGGAGATGTTTGGACCCACATGAGACAGAATCCCTGTGTTTTCATCCGTCACAGATATATTTACCTTCATCGCTCCATCTTTGATATTTATGCGTTTCCACATTCTTCCAATTCCACTTCCTGAAATAAAATTGTGAAAGAGCAGCAGCCCCACAGTCGGGATACTCAGGCTGCTCAGGATTCACTGCATTAACACGTACTGGGCATGAAGAGAGTAAAGTCCAGCTGGAAAAGTACTTCGTTGTAGTAGTAGTAGTAGTAGTAGTTGTCTTTGGTTCAAATTATTTAAGATAAGCTATACTTCAATGTTTTCATCCTATTGTTGCTAAATACCACTTCACACATTGGAGCAAAAGCATTTTTATCACAGCTTCTGATAACAGAAATAGTACATTTAAATTTTTTCCACCCGCTTTACAATTTCACGCATTATTCATCTGTTCCGTAATCTGTGGTGGCCATTAACTCATCCAACCACCATCGACACTCACGCACACCCAAAATTCACTCTAAGCAATGTGAGTGAAGTGTCTTGCCTAAGGACACAACATCAGTTTGCACTAGAGCTGGGTTGTCACACTCAAATTCACAGAGGGCAAAAATTTAAAATTGGGACTAAGTTGCGGACCAAACTAAATATTTATTGAAAAATGTCAACATCTGTATGTTTTCTCTTCTTTCGAGATATGTAATGTTAAACCTTATTTATTAAAATAAATGTTTAATAATAGTTTTGCTTAAACATTGAATCCAGAACAAGCATAATATAAATAATAAAGTGATCTCATGGGCTAAATATAATTATATCGTGTGATAAATTTTGATAAAGTTTGACATGTCTGCACTAGAGGCACTGCTGCCCCACTGTGGCTCCTGGTATTCCCAATGATTTCCCCTCCAAGTACTAACCAGGTCCAACCCTGTTCAGCCTCAGAGATCTGACAATATTGGGCATTGACCGTAACCATGTGCAGCAACATGGATTCTCAAGATATTTGTGAGTTCACAAACTTACGAGAATCCATCTCGCAGTGCGCCCGCTGTACGGTTAACGGGGTGGATGGACCAATTGAGGTTTGTACAGAAGCCAAAGGAGAAGCGCAGAGCGTTCCGTGTTTTCCGATCGTTTTCAGTGAAAGCCGTTTCAGATTGATGTGTAGAAGTAAATTCAGAGTGCTACATATATCAGTCTGGAGTGAGCCAGGTTAAATTGACCATGTGTTTCTACTACTATCAGGCCTACGGTGAGTACTACCACGGCTAGTTTTACCACCACAGATTTTGCTGCCAGCTGCTGTCTGTAGTTGTGAACTGACTGAATTACCCAC